GGGGGGGGGGAGGGAAGGAAAAGAAAATGGTAATGAAAAAGTACATTTTGAACTTTTCAAAACACTTTTTTTCCATTTTTGGTTTGCCTGATGGTTGATCAACTGTCGTTTCTTCAACGAACACAAAATTATCGCTGTAGGTGTTTTGAAGCAGAAGTAAGCAACGAAATAATTTGTTATAATTGTTTTTAATAAAAAAAAAATGAATATTCAGTGGAAAAATTAAAAGCACAGATGTATCTATTCTCTATATGAGACATTCGGAAAAAGCCATAATAGTAGCACTTTACCAATAGCAACCACACTTAGTCGATGAGTTTCTTGTTCTAGGATTGCTTACAGGCAAGCTAATGGCGACTTTGGCTTTTTGCCGTGTGCGAGTGCTATTATCGCAAAGAGATTTGCTACCAGCAAAGTGAGATCCTAGAAATCAGTGTGAATGTGAAAAACTATTCGAAGCATGTTTTGAGGATTCGTAAATATTAGTTTATAAAACCAACATGAAGCAATAGTTCCCACGAGAAGGCAATATGTTTGCGGGAAAAGAAGCTCCGTTAACCAGCTGGTATTTTTTCTGACTATCCTTCTTTTGGGTGCACTTTCTGGACTAAATATTGCAGAGTTTTTCTCCCACTGAGGTTAATTTTCGTAAATTAAAAAAGAATTAATTTTCGTAATTGGAGAAGAAAAAGGTGAAGTAATGATGGGATGGGAAGGGAGAGACGGGAGGGAAGGAAACGAGCAAGAACGAAGGGCTTTTTTCAAGATACATCACTGATTTGCAGTCATAATAACAATGGACCGTTTGCAGCTGAACATTTGCTAGACTTAGGAAGTCAAATTGTAAATACTCGAAAATATTATACAAGAGTAAATAATCAAGCAGAAACAGAAATAAGCTTTTGGGTGACGAGGGCTTTAATAATTGTATTGTGTACTAACAAGTTCTTTCGTTTTCTAATTCAACACGCTTCGGAAGCTTTATTTACCAGTCGCACCGATAAAGAATTGACTCGCTGAATGACAGAATAACAAATAAATCAGTTGTTTAATTTACTGACTACGGCAACACCAGACCAAAAAATGAAATAAATAATAAAAAAACCTATCAGTAAATCTATTATGATGAGCTACTGTTTAATCGTCGCGTTCCTTCCCCATTGTTGCAAGACTGGCAACTTCCCCACTTTTCTCTCTTTTTGGGCTTCTCTCATCCACGTAATTTCGCACAGCCACTCAAACGAATCCTATCAAATTTCACTGTGCATGATACCACTACCACATATATAACCAGTATGAACCCGGCAATTATAATGTTGCCAAGATGCGCTTATACGTTGATCGACATTTCAAACATGAGTAAAAAGTGATATATTAAAAACAGACCACTCGAAATTCCGGTCATTCTCCGATTTAGGACAATTCCCACCGATTCAGTCTTGTTTCTGACGGACGGAATATTTTGCTTCCCGTGAGCGGAAAAGACAGCTGAAGTTAGGTTCATTGCAATTACACTGTTATGAGAAGCCATGACCTGGCAAAATTTTCATTGATTCTTTCTTCCCAGACTGTTGATGAAAATACATAATAATCTTGGCTTCCAGACACAAGGTGGTACCAGTTTGTCGTCGAAAAAAGTCAAAGAATCATAGAGGAACAAATCTTCTTAAAACGAATTCAAACCATCGAATTTGAGATTGGCGATAGCTAGACTTGCAGCTGCGTCGATCAAACTAGTTATTTTTTATCATATTTCAGCTAAATACTTATTATTACAGTTGCAAATTTTGGTGAATCGTAAAGATGGTGGTAATTTGATGAACGAGAACGATCTGGATGAGCTGATGGCGATGCATCGATTTGTGGTCAATAATGTGACCATTGACGATGGTACCAGTACTGGTCTTAGCTATCGCGATATCTGCGGTATCTATTGCAACGACAGCAATAATATAGTCCTCAGCTTTATCCAGGTTGGCAGTTGTTGATAGCGCCTTTATTTGAGACATTTTGATCAAGCTGTTACCACGAAAAACTATCTGACACACATAGCTGAAGACAGGCAAAACGTTGAAATCGCCGGAAGTAAGAGATTGCTGGGTGATTTGTTCGTCTTGCTGATAACGAATGAATTCGAAAAATCCCTTTCCGCTTACTCTTTGAAAAACAAATTACAGGCAGTGATTGACACAAATGGTGAATCGTCGTCGTTGCTTTTCACATATCCAAATGCGCGGGCCCTTCAAAAGCATCTCTTCCTGGGGCAAGTGATTTCAAGCCGATTTGTACAATGCGGTCTCTGGTTCCATTCTTACGTTAAATTAGTGTAATTTGTGGCCTGAAATCCATTTGTACAAAACCAGTAGCTCTGCAGCTCGATTCGTTTCACTGCCGACCCAGTTGTGGCGCTTATCAAAAGAGAGTACTTCCATTTTTGAGTTCTTAAAAATAAAGCGTTTTAATTTAGGTGGCATCAGAGCATTTACATCGAGAAAAATAAATATTTTTTCGATTAATAGTTTTAAGTATCGACTCCTTTGTGTTTTGTTCATTAGTTTCGATGATAAGTTGTATTGGCGTCGCTCAAGCCTGCTATCAACTTGCTTGTAAGCAGCAAGCAGTCCTCAAAAGAGAGTGCCATCCACAGCCTTGCCGGGGAGTGGATGCTGCTGATATTTGCTGTCACTCGGGCTATTTCCCCCAGTTCTGAGAATAACTAGGAGGATTTTTATTTTGGTTTGAAAATTTCAAGTATCAAATTGAATAAATCTAAAATTGCTGAAAAAATGATAAATTTTTTGAAAACTCGCACTACTTCAACTGTTTTCTTTTTAGATATTCCGTTGGTAATTTGCATCGATCAAAGCAGGATCCTACGCTCATTGATGGCTTCAAGCTCTTTATTTTTCACTTCATGGTAAAATTTTCCTCGCATCTCATAATTTCTTAACATCAATATGTTCAGAATGTAAAGCTTATTTTCTAATTCAGGTCAATTTGCATCTACCAAATGGCCGGAAAGTTGCTAAGGACTTTGAATCTCAGCTGAGAACGTTGTTTTCATCAGCAACCATTGAATCCCAGGTGTGATTATGGTTCCTGATACTGCAATTTCGTTTTGTTGATTTATTTGTCCATTTGGAAATTTCAATAGCTGAACAATGAGCATCGTGCTGGCCCTTTGTGCAGAATGTAAGGGCCAATAACACCACCAACATGTGGGCATCAGTTGTTCAGACTATCTTGGTTTGATAAACGTGGCAAAGTAAACAGATTTCTTTATTACAGAAACTGGGTTCCAAAATTTTTTCAGGGTGACTTTCTTTGCTTTTGTTTTTGAATTAGGTGTTAATAAAAATTTTAGAATTTGATGTACGCGTTGTTGAGCAGGGATCGTGAGATGGAGGAGCAACGGAAAATTACGCTGGTCGCTTTGCCATTCCTCGGTCTTACGGGCCTCGTTTTGACAGCATTCATGATCATTAGCTTAATCAACTTTCCACTTCGCAAAAGCCAGCATATTGAGGTTAATCTTTATTCAATTCATTTTGAAGAAACACTCATCAAAAGTCGAAACTCCCTCCGTACTTTACGTCTACTCCGTATCAAGACGCATAAAACGCATGAGTTCAAAAAATTTTTCAAAGTTCAAAAAAATGAGTTCAAAAAAAAATTTAAGCTCCATGACAAAAAATTTGGACAGATTTCAATACTATGGAAAAAGCTGCAAGCTCAAAGTTTTGGGAGGATGTCCCTGGCCGTGTGAAAGGATTAAAATATGAAAATCGGCTTCTACAAGATACCATATACTGACAGCAGTTTTAAATTCAGGCCACTGAGAATTTGCTGTATGTATTTGTACACATAGGGGAAACTGCATAAAATGAAGTCGCCGCTGTCTGTGGGTAAAGCCGACGCGTCCGGTGAACTTTTTTCAACATTAAGCATCCCGCTGGCTTTGTTGGTTAGGTACCTACCTTCAAAATTTGCGTATGCAGACATCAACTTGTTTCAAGGAAATTTCAGGCAGTATTCGCAGTGGTATCGCCATCGATGGCACTGGTAACATCAGGGGGCGTTTTGTGGGGTCTTGGCTTCCCATTTTCCAATATTCTTACCGTCGTGCCTTTTCTTGTTGTTACAATTGGCGTTGATGATGCTTTTCTTATTCTGGCCGCATGGAGGCATTCAAAGTAACTGTTACTCTTGCATATTTTTGAAAATCTTGCTCTTTTATCAGTAAATATAATGGTTAGACTTTTCCATGCTTTGAATCAGAACAAAATTTTAAGCCTTCGATTATTTGTTTAAAAAGTTTAAAGGGGACTTGCCCAACCGAGGTTTAATTCCCCATTTTTGCCCAGCAGCTGGTCTTAAGCTAGTGGCTCACTTAAAATTTCCAGAAGAAGGTACTTGTCTTCCAGTACATTAGCAAGCGCTGAGCCGATGAGGGTACCCCTACAGTTTTCGGGATGAAGCCCATAAAAGACTCAGCTTCACTCAATAATTGATAATTTATTAATAATTACTAACTGTCAGCCTGTAGCAGATTATTACTGAAGCACTTGACAGTACATACTGTCGGTCCGCGCCAATTTTTTTTTGTGAATAAGTAATGACTCTTATTGGAAATGCTTTTTAGCCCAGCTGTTGCTGATCTCAAAGCTCGGATGGGCGAAACAATGATGCGATCCGGAGCCAGTGTTACTGTAACTTCGCTTACCGATGTACTCTGTTTTGCAGTCGGATTATTTTCGAATTTGCCGGTTGTGCGATTATTTTGCTTGTATACTACCCTTGCGCTTACCATTGATTTCATTTATCAGGTAATTTTGATCAATTATCTTGTTCATTTCAAAGTATTTTCATCTGAAATACTGTTGAGCTGGTAGTCCTTTGAGGCGGCGAAACGGGCGCAAAGATCGGCAGAGAGCTGAACATCAAGTGATGCAGCATTGATATCGCACCAGATGCACGGGTGGAAAAAGATACCGTGAATTTCAGCTGATTAAATGATCTCAGACGTTATAATGGGCTTGCCGTATTCCTGAGTGACTATGCTTTTATACCTGAAGCCATAGTTCGCCAAAGGCACATTCAGTGCAGAAGCTAAAAATGTAGCTTAGCACAGTTGCTTCATATAAATGCAGTTCGACGAGGTTCCTGACATTTTTAATTGTTTTTTTCAGATGACCTTTTTTTCTGCAATTGTTGTTTACTGTGGAAGACGAAAGATGCGACAAGCTAACGAAAAACGGTGTTACAAAGAGGTACGTCGTTGCATTTTGTCAGTTTCTACTTCGATTAAGCGCCCATACGGCATTCAGGTAAACAGCTTGCTCTCAGCTTTAACGCCAAATGTCCAATAAATGTGCCACAAATCGCAGCGTTGGTACTTGAAAAGTCGTTTCAGGGAAGGCTTAGCTTATTCAAGAATCTCATTGTTTGTGCTCGTTTTCTTTGCAGAGCACAACTTCGAGCAGTAGTATCCTGAATAGGTTGTGGGGGAAAGCAAGTTGTTCGAGCTCGAACAAGGTGTATTGTGTTGGTGTCGGTGTCACGAAATATTCCTTGTCAAATGGTGATACACAACCAAGGATAGCAGAGTCCAAGCAGCAATCCTCTATGCTACAACTGTACATCCATTTCCTCCATTCACCCTTCATCAAATGTGCTACTGTTGCTGTCTTCGTCGCTCATATCGCTGTATGTTTGAATGATTTACCTATAAATGTGATAACATTGGCCTAGTTGACGTAGTTATAGGTAGTGCTACTCTTATGCTCAGACGTACAGTTCAGCCCTACCAGTTGAAAATTGGACAATTACTGTATTTTCACGTCCTTCATGTACTTTTGATGCAATGCAAGACAAATATCGAAACCCTTCAATGGGTTGACGAAACACTCCGTAATTTCTTCATTCATTTCGATAAAAAAATTAATATCAAATGAACAGGAATGTTTCAATCCGTGAAGTCACCAACTGCCAGCAGAAAAAATTTTGTTCAGTTTACTGTTTGAGCTCAGCCTAAAGGAAAAGCATTTTGATGAATCGGATCAATTTTTGCTCCCGATGAAGACTAATTTATGCACTACTGAAACTGCAGGTGTCATCATATTTATGTACAAAAGTGAATACCGATTTTGATATGGAGAATCTGTATATGAAAGATTCGCCACTGAACGCAATCTCGCGACAGATGCAGCGATTTGTGCTCAGCGAGGCGTTCGTCGTAAATTTCGCGCTCCATCCGATGCCCAATTTTGCGGACGCTTTCATTCGTGACAAATTCGACCAGCTGATTGAAGAGCTCGAAACAATCCCTCGTTACGGAATGGGCCCTGATGGGACGGTCCTCTGGACACGGGATTTTGCCGATGTTAGTAGCTCATCATCATGTTTCATCATTCCTTCCTCGACAAGCGATAAGAATCGAAGCGCTTGCAGTCAATCGTTTAATTGCGGTTTACCTCATTTTTTAAAGCCGTTTTTGAATCTCTGATAATATGTGAAAAAACACTTTTGTTAAGAGGTTGTCTCTCTTTTACTCTGTGTAATGTGTATGTTTGTGCGTTAGAATTTCTGTATTTTCCACTACGAGCTCCGAGAAAATCCAAAAAATTCATGCTGCACATCCTGATAATTTAGAAAGTAGGGAGATATTCAAGCCGTCCTTAATTCGCCTGGGTTTGAATATGAAAAGTACTAGAAAAATAGGAAGAGCCAGACCAGTGGGTGGTAGTTATATAGAAATATATTTTTCTCAGTTCAGAACGCCACACATTGAAAAACTGCTTTTGAGGTACATCTCGGCGATATCAAAAAATTATTCTGAGAATTCGAGTGGTATTTAATTTACTATTTTGAACCACACTAATTTTCACTGCAGTTCTCCAACTGTGTGCAACTGGCAGCAACTGCAATTGCTTCAATCAATATCGCATCGCTTGATGGTTAATCTGCTGATAATTCTGCCGTTTTAGCGATCAAATTTATCAAGTTATGATCAAAATCACGTCTATTTTCATTTTTATGTGTTTTTGCATTTTTATGCAAATGCTGAAACGCATGTTGGCAGGAGATTATCTGTGTGTGTGTGTGTGTGTG